TCCCCAGATTATCACACCCCCTTAATATGAAGAGTAGCACTGGGCCCTCAAGGCGTGATGAGCAAGGTCACTGAAGGTGACACTGCATGTCGTCAGAGCGACTTCAATCAATCAATTAGATCAGTGCCGCCCTTTCCACAAGAGGCTTTGAAGATGTTGAAGGCATAACGCTTGCCTGCTTGAAGAGTAAATAGTTCAGAAGAAAAGGTGTCTACGCGGACTCCTAGAACAAGTCCTCTCCTACGGAACAAATCTTACTCTTGGGCTGCAACTGTGAAAGAAAGTTATGTGCAGGAAACTCTGCCACGGAGTAAGAAAGATTCAGGACAAACTCCCAATCATGGGTTTTTCCTCCTATTGGATAATTGCCGCTGAATTCAGTCAGAAGAGGTGGCGGAGTGTAGGCTTTAAAACCAGAGCTCTACAAACAGCCTGAAGCCATTTACTAGCTGGGTAGATGAAAACCTATTTAACCTACCAGTCCTAGATTTCTTCCCATGAGAATGGAAACAGTACCAAAGTCACACTGCTAGATACATAATATATGCTCAATCAATTGGTAACTATTATGATTCATGCAGATGGTGCAAATGGTTTGCTCCCAGCAACTAACCTAGAGGATGGGGCCTCAAACTCCCCAGCAGCTGCCCAAGAACGGCCTGGAGGTCTGCTTCCAAGACCATTACAGTCAGGAGAGCCCCGGAGCAGTTCTACTTTGTAACGACATAGAGGCATGGGTTGGAACCAACTCACAATGGGTGTTTTTATGTTCGTTAATAAGCAGGCATAGTAAAAGTAAATGTCTTCGAAGGCGGATTAACAATATTAACCCATGATTCATTTGGTGAGTCACTTTTCCTTTGAGGTGGAGAAGACACGGACCAGCCTTGGCTCGGGGTTGAAAATTTGAACAAAACACTCAATCCCAGCGCCTGCCTGGGAAGAAGACTGTGGGGGTCGCCCCAGTATCTCAGCCTGTCTCAAGTCCATGGCTCCATTTCCCCCACAGAGAAGTCCGCTGAGATTGAGATCTCAATGGAAAAGCCAGCCCAGGGGTACCGGAAGCAATCTTCTCTCAGTCTGACTTGCCATGTGCCTTTGATGTGACCACCAAACTGTCCCTGCCACATGGTGGCCGTGTCCTTGTTGCATGCACGGGTGGTGGACAGTCGTCAATCCACTGTGTTCCTCTCCAGCCAGTCAAACACCTGCTTCTTTAACACTTCTTGGGATTTCAAGGGTGAGAAGAAATGATCTACCGATGCTGACCGCCTGTGCCGGGATGCAGGAAGGAGAATTGGGTTTTCATTCGCATTCCATCTAATTCATGGTTTCCTGTTCTGCAGGGAAGGGAAGGACTTGTGGCCTAGTCCTGAAATGATCCAGCTGGAACGAGACCATCTAGGAAATTCCTGAATAACAAAACTGTACAGTATACCTGATCCAATTTGGGAGCACCCAGCCAAGCACCACCCGTTTGGGATGGCATTTTGAACCTGGACTGGAAAGCCGAGCTATTCCCATAGGTTTAAACTGTTTGGCTGTTAAAAATGTTCCCTCCCAAAGAAAAGAGGCTTGGCGAGCCCCCGCTGTGCCGGGCACCCTGGGCTGATTTCCAAGTGAGGCTGGCTGGCTTGTCGGCAGCTCCCTGAATCACCCTTCTGCTGCCTTCTCTCGAACGTGGGGTTCTCCAGGGCAAGATTAGGTTGTTCAAATTAGAAACTGGGATTAACCACAGGGAGGCTATCTCCCAGAATTATTTCCCTTTCTCTCTGCCGGCCCAGACTGACTGACTTCTCCCGCTGTATCTGGGCAGCTCCAGTGATGCCCGGTTTCCTCCCTGAGCAAGAAGCGCAGACAATTACTCAGGAGGGACGTACCTTTATCTCAAAGTGCAGCTAGACAGCTATTAAAGGCCTCCCTCTTACATTTTCTGCGGAGTGAACAGTCAGTGTGTAAAGTCGTTCGCTCTTTCATGAGGACTGGAGCCAGAAACGCGCTGGTTTTGCGGGAGGCCCTTGAGGATGGGTGTCTGCCCGGAAACATTTCTGCAATTCGTCAGTCCATTTTCATCAGGGCCCATTTTCCTCCCCGTGAAAGGCTGCGGGCTTGTGGTGTTAAAAGAGCCCAATGACCAAGGCTTTTGAGGGACAAAATCTCCCCTACAGAATTTAGCCTTGGGTTTGGGGTTAGATATGATTCTGCTTATAAGTATGCCTGAGACTCGCGTTCCTATTGTCTCCTTCGAAGGACCACTGCTTTGCATTGGTGATTTCTCTCTTTCTCTCTCTCTCTCTCGTCTGGAGAGGGTAGAGGTTGTGCTGCTGTCTGGTGTTTTCCCATAGAAAGGCTCTGGCCAGGGCATGTCTCCAACTTACTCTAGCAGTATTCCTCGCAGCCCCCTCTCTCTCCATTCACTTCAGAACTCTGCTGGTCTGACCCTGGATTTGACTGACGGGGAGCTCCTGATAGCCAGTCCTTTCTGGCTATAGCCACACTTTCTCTACGCTCTCTCTGAGGCCAGTGTTTGGGCCTGGTCAGAGCTCTACAGATGTTTGCTGCTACTGACGCTGACCCATGTTTGGGGACTTGGGGACAGAGAACGCACATCGGCAAGAATTTAGGCCAATGTGTTTCCCCAGCTCAGGCTCCTAAAGGCATCTGAGGCGGCTGCTGCAAGGGGCGCCTCTGAATCCTCGACAGCTGTTTTGTATTAAGTCGAGTTGAGGCAGAGGAAGCAAGGAAGGGTGTGTTAAGTCGAGTGAACCAAGGCAGACGCACTGCGGTGAGTTCATGGATCTTTGGTCTTGCTACACAGAGGAGATGTGGTCTGCAACTTATACTAGGAAGAGAAAATGTAGACTTTCATGAACTGAAACATTGGGATCAACAGCTGGGGGGGAAAAGAGCTTGGAATAGTACTATCAGAGGAAGCCTATTATATTTAATTTTTAAAAATCCAAACCAAATTCATTGCCATTGAATCAATTCTGAATCTTAGCAACCCTGTAGGGCAGGCTAGAACTACTTACTCCATAGGGTTTCCCAAACTGGAAATCTTCAGGAGAGCCACCAGCCTCATCTTTCTCCAGGGAAGTAGCTGGCGGGTTGGAACTACTGGCCTCGTCGGTTAGCAGTCCAATACTTAATCTACTGATAATCAGGTTGCCTTCATATGAATGAAGCATAGTAGTAAGAAATAAGAGGAGCTCATCAACTAATAACCTGACTGCTGGTTGTTTATTTGTCTTCTCTTTCTCTCTTTCTTCTCTTTCTGTTTCTCTCTTTCTTTTAGGGAAAGAGGTATTCAAATAGCAGGATGATCTTCCGAGTGTTTGAGAAGCCTTTCCATGGGAATCAGTTAAAACAAATGCCCAGATAGTCCTTCTTCAACTTATCGCTTCAAGCCCTCACAATTAGTCTGATCAAGAAAACCGCGGCAAATTTGCTTTCATACTCAAGCCATCCTGAGTCATTCTGACTTGTCCTCAATGTCAGTCCCAAGATCATTTGGAAGTCTATCCCTCAAGCACATTCTAGCTTTGGGTGGGGCCTTGGAACTATTAAACCTCACAAGGTAGGTGCTCACACAAGGGAGGAGCTATGGGAGAGCCAGACTCTGAGAAGCAATCGCGCCAACTTTAAGCCTAACAGCTGTCAGCAGCCTGGTGTCTGATAAGCTTTCCTGGACATCAGATAGCTGTGAAATAACATTTTGATGAATTAAGTAAAAAGTGAATCGCAAACATGTGGAATACATTTTCTTCATGGCACTCTGAATTTAAATTTTACAGGGAAAAGTATTTGACCGCATTTGCCAAAGTTAAGCAGCATCAGAAAAGAAGCCAGCAAAGATGTTTCACTGGGGACGGCTGGGTTTCCTCAGTTTTGCTCATAAAGAGGGTGCATACAGAAATCACTGTTGCCTTTAGCAGACGATTAGCCCCCACTGAGAAACACCTTCTTGGGAAAAGCCAACTAAACGTGTTGGCCCTTCCCTTACTTACCAGGTCCAAAGGCCAGGAAAATGCCCCTCATGTCCAGGAGCTCGTTGTCATAGCCATGCCATCCACGCTGCCAGCCTTCCCTCTTCCCAGTGCTGTTCATCCAAAATGGAAGCACCTCGCGATTCTGAAATCAAACAAGGCAATTGCATGACCCTGTGTTCCCAGAAACCCTGCTCAGATCATTACCTATGGTTATTCTGTCAACCAACACCTCTCTGAGTCGGTTGTCCAGTCTCAACTGGGTTACTTCTCTTCCAGGTAGCACGTGCTTTGGGAGGTAGCTCATTAAACAGCTGGGTGGCTCTTCTCTGGAAGGCTTTTTTCTTGTACTCTGTGGATATGGACCTCATAATGTGTTTTAGAACCACTACATACAGATGTTAGAGACAGAGGCATGTTAGATTGCATTTAACACAACAAACTGATTTTACTAACAAAGCAACTGATGCCCAGAGGGGACCTAGGACTTGCCCATCATATTCCACTCACAACCGTCCCAGGTGCCCTTGCTCCAAGCCATTCATCCAAACCTTTGAAGATGACACTCGTGTTCCTCTTCTCCAGGCCATTAATTCTTCTCTCCCTTTAGCCATTCCACATTTGGGATGGAGTCCAGAACCACCACATCCCTGTCACCTTGCTTTCCGACTGGACACACACACACACACACACACACGATGCTTACTTGTGAAACAGGGCTTAAAGAAGCTTTTGTGAATTCTAAGGAGACTCTGGATGGCACAAACTTCCAAGGGTTCAACTACTAGCCCAAAGGTAGTTCAACTCCCCGAATCCCCTTGGAAGATAGGCCTGGTGATTTGCTTCCAAAAGATCACAGCCTTGACAATCCTATGGCGTGCAGCTCTCCTCTGCACACATGGAGTCACCGCGAGTCTGAATCAGCTCAAGCAACTAGCAACAACAAACAACGAAGGAGAGGTGTAGCCAGAAGAGCCAACCCAAACCATTGAGTACAAACTAACCATTTGCTCCTGACATTGCGATCATCCTCTTGCTAAGCAGAGCTTAAGATGCCAACTTTTTCAAACACAGGAGGTAGAATTGGCTAGCCAAGATGAATGGGTGAAATCCACGCAACTAAAATACAAGGATTTACAGGATGGCCCTCATAACAAAGCTAGCTGCCATTGAGTCATTTGCAGCTGACCATGGCTCCAGGTGTCCCAGGGTAGAGCTGTGCTCCAATCAGAGTGTCAATGGCTGGTTTTTTGGAGAAGACCTTTCTTCCAAGGGTCTTTGAGTGAACTCAAACCTCCAAACTGTGATCAGCAGTGGATTAACTGCCCCGGTTGCATATATTTATAATGATACCATGAGTATAATGTTGTTGCTGTGTGCCATTGAGTCGGTTGCAACCCTCAGTGACCCTCTGTACAACCGAATGAAATACTCTCAGGTCCTGTCCCCTGCTGCCAACCTTGTGCCATCATCAAGTTGTTCTTATGTGTGAGTCTGTGTGAGTCTGTCGGCCCGTCATGGTGTCAGTCCATCTTGTTGAGGGGCTTCCTTCTTTTCGCTGTCCCTCTACCAAGGATGATGTCCTTCTTCAGGGACTGGTCTCTCCTGACAACATGTCCAAAGTATGTGAGATGAAGTCCTGCCATCCTTGCCTCTAAGCAACATTCTGGCTGTACGTCTTCCAAGAGAGATCTGTTTGTTCTGGTTGGCAGTCCGTGGTACTTTCACTATTGTTTGCTAGCAACATCATTCAAATGTGTTCACTGTTCTTTGGTCTTCCTTATTCATGACTAGACTAGCCTTGCATTTAGAGTCATCATCGTGTCATGTTTTTAGTGCCTCTTACCATTCACCAAGAGCCTACACTGACAATCACCAGTGATAACATTGCTGTGTGGATGATATTATTTTCCCCACAGGATGGTTGAAGGCACTGAGGTGCAAATGACTAAGTGGCACACTCATAGAGTCACACAGCTAGTGAGAGGCAGAGTTGGGAACCCAAATTGTCTGACGTTTACTTTTCCACATCCAGCTGTTGTGGTAGTGTTCCTGCTGTCTCTGGACTGCAGGCTGTCTCTATGTCCTTCACCTCTTCGCTCACCAAGTGGTGGCCAAGTATCATGTACAGAAAACAGATTTTGGAATTGGAGTGCTAGTGACTTAAATTCTACCACTGATTTGGGGACGATAACTTCTGGCCTGCGCGGGCTCTGAGGGATGACATGACTTGAATTGTAAGTGCCTGATGCACAATAGGTGTTCAATAAATGGCCACAATGTGGGTACCAGATGCCACTGGCTGGGGATGAGGTGTGGTGACTGTGTGCCGCATGTGGGCCTGTCTGTGAGAGTTGAATGCTCCTTTGCTTACTGAGATGTCACCTCAAGTGGCACACACATCCACTCTCATCCAGAAATTGCTCCCTGGCGGTACCGCCTTCCAAATCCTGCTATTTCGACTCCCGGCTTCCGGAATTTTCATCATCCCTTGTCTCTCCTCCTCCAGCTGGAGTTAATATTTTTTCCATGGGAATGCTTGATCACCATATTGGATTTCTAACATCTCCTGATGTTCTTCAGTTTATTTTGGTTTTTTTTGGCTCTTTATCTGTCTGTGCTGATACACACAACACATCCCAATTTAATTTCTTCAGTTAGTTCAATGTGTTGTTTCTCTCTCTCACTGTCTGTTCATGACATGGCTGATTATGAACCCCCTCATCTGTACACACCCCATGGCAAAGGGGGGAGGAAGACAGACGCCCTGATGAGCAACCCATGCCACAGGGCCGAACCTACAGTCACGGCCACCCCAGCCCTCAAGGGACCAGAGTGATCTGTCTGGTCATAGGCAAATCTACCAGTTGTTATTAAAATGATACACTGGTCCAGCAAAACCACCATTCTTACAGATTCAAATCATTTCATTGTAAGCAGGTAGGTCCTGTGAGAAAGGCAATCAGATGACAGAGGATTGACTGGACGAGGTCAGGTTCACAGCCTTCACCTCCACACGGTGCAAGGACAGTTTGCTTTCATCTCTTTTCCCAGGGGGCAGGCTATCTTCTCACACCTTGTTGGGGGGTGGCCATTAGGCACTCACAGCTGGGGCTCCAGCTTATGAAGAAGCTGAAGTCCAGCCCACTCCACCTCCAGAGCTGAGATCCCAGTCTGGGCAGCCTGCTACAGGATCCTGACCCTGTCAGACCCATAGATGGCCACTTAGTGCCTCCGAGTGACATGACGTCTGGGGAGGTACCCTGGTCCTCCGGATTAGGCCAAAAGAAAGGCAGGAAGGTGGGGTGGGAGACAGGATTGGCAGTAGGTTGTGCAGGGTTGCTCCAAGATTTGGGTCACTAAGAAATCCAAGCCAGTGATAGCAAGAGCATCCAGTCCCTAGGGGCCCTTCTGCAAGGGGCACCATTGGGGCCCAGGCTGCCAGGGGGCTGTGCAGCATTCATAAACCAGGGAGGGAGGGAGTCAGGATCGTGAAGCCAGCAGAAGTCGAGATGTCGTTGTTGGAGGAATCGCAGGTGAGGGTGGATTGTAGGCAGTGGTTGTAGAGTCTATTTTTTATTATTTTTTTAAACTCACCAGGCAGACATGGAGCTCAGACTCTCTGCCACTCGGCCGGGTTTTCCCCAGCACCACAAACGAATGGCTAGTCTGTAGTGGGGGTAGAGGGTGGGGGGCAGGAGGCTGGAAGCTGCTATGAGAGCTGAGACCACAGTGAGCGCCCTAAGCTTGAGCTAGTGAGTTAGGCTCAGGCCCTGGATAGACGTTAGGCTTGAGAGGAAGCAGAGATCCTGTGGGGACAGGTGGGGACAGTCACTGCCAGTTGGCTGGGGCTGTGTGGGAGCTCTAGGAGGGAGTGCATGGAGGAGTCAAGCAGGGTGAAAAGGGTAGTCGACCTCCTCCAGCAATGAGACCTGGGCAACCCTGTATGAGGAAAGACAGACATTGGAAAGATAGGAGAGCCTCATGTGACCTCATGTGGGAGAAGACGGCCAGGAAAGGCGAACAGCACAGGAAAACTGAGAAGGAACGGGAAAGAAACTGGGCTGGTCTCCTGTTTGCAGTGGCCTCTCCGTGGGGGCTTCCTGTGGTGGGTCGTGCAAATATGATAAGCCACTGGCCCAGGTTGCTCAGGCATGAGGGAGTTTCAGGGGACACGGCACTTTCCACTTAAAAACAGGGACAGCTCCAGGCACACCTGGACTGCTTGCACAGCCTGCAGTAAACGTTCCCCTGGAAGTTTAAATAAAATGCTCATGCAAGATAGCGCAGCACCTGTCAGTGCCTTCCAGAGCCCCTCCCCACACCCCCATCGGTGGAGGGCAATGCTAGCTAGTCCCTTCCTTGATGCTAACCTGTAGCATTAACAGACCTTGTACGAGAAGGAGTTAGGGATAGAACCAATGGGGAAATGGTTCAGAGTTTGACGTTTATTGACTTGGGTGTCAAATTGAGGAAACCCCTCGGACACCATCTGGCCATGCTGCCTCTCATGGGCTTGCTTTAATTTGGGGAGTAGGGAATACTTATGAGATAAGAGTTATAATGGATAGACTTCACCTTTATTATTATTTTAGCATTGAAAAAGAAAATGTAGCATTCATTGTTCACACTCAAATCTACCAACCAGTGACTGTGGTTTGGGCAATCCTTCCCTGGGCCTATCTCTTCGAATTCACTGACTTGGGATTTTCTTATGGAGTAGAGCTGAGAGGACGGGGTAACACAATTAGAAATGAGTGGGAACACTGGGGATGAGGGTGTAGGGAAGGACAGAAGGACAGGAAGCAGCAGGTTATGAGCTGAACGGCATTCGTTATTTTCTATGTTTATACAGGCAGGTACTTGCTTTGACAAACTCTCAGGGCACGTACTCATTTTGACTGTTGCATTTTTGGAATACATTAGCACATACATTTCTCTCCCAGGCCTTCTGAGTCCCCCTCCGTGTAGATCAGCAGATGGTTGCTAAGCCACAGAGGAAAATGCTCCAAGGAGAAGGAGGATTGGCAGGGGCTGGGGCCACATTTGGCCTCCAGCTCTTTCCCAGCACCCTGAATTGGCTTCTCATGGGACAAGGGAGGACCTTGAAGTAAGTCCTTTGAGTCCTCTCTCTCAGCCCCAGAG